AACCCGTTTAACCGGGGTTTACGGTAACTTAGGTTGGTTCGTTTACGTTTTACTTTCTTTACTTAGTTACGTTCGTTTTAGTTTTCGTTTCTTTTTCTTTCTTTTCTTTTCTTTTTTTTTTTTTGAGGAGGGGATTTGGGGCAATACTTAGACCTTTATTTCAAAGTGACAGTATAGAAGAGGGCAAGTAATATAGGTACAATGAACCTCCAACCTGCATTTGGTTCTGGCTGGAAATCCGGATGGTGTGTGTTGGGTGCGGGGACTGTTCCAGTGAATAGATAAATGAACTATAGGTGAAGGGATATTTTCCTGGTACCTTTTGTACAAGTAAGTTCAAAAAAAATTTAGGTGCAAGAATTTCACAACACACAGCTGCTCAGGGTTTTGGGAAATCCATCACCCTCTTCCCATCTTTTCCATTCAGTGCAGCAAGTCTCTAAGACATTAATGCATAACTTCACAATTTTGGCATCACATTCACCTGGCTCAGCGTATTTTTTCAACACTGCAGTAAAGCCAACTGTTTTCCAGATGTATACCCCTCCATGCATTTATTAACTACATTCTCTACTCCATGTCCAACACCCCTCCCCCCATCCCAAGGAAGGGGTAGGAACAATCAGAGCAGGGTCCCCAGAAATCTCTGGTGCTCTCTGGCTCCACTGGCCTTCGGTCTGCACTATATGGATGTCCTGTGCAGATGAAGAGTTGTCCTGTAGGGTTAGACAAGCGTCTTTCCATCCGGCCCTGATGGGACTGCTGTCCCTGGTGCTGAACCATGTTAGCCCACCAGGGAGTCGGCTGCCAGGTCAGTGGGACTGGAGAGAAAACCTGGTTGACAGATCTCAAGAATGTCCAGGTGCAGAAGCAAGCAGTACTTTGGTTACAGGAACAGAAGCCCCCCACCCCCACGCCACATACGAATCTCCAGGGTGTGCGCCAGGACCCCATTTGCAGTCTTCTCCTCCAGACCCCCACCCAACACGCCTCCAACATGGCCTCAAACGCCGACATTTATCAGCACAGCTCACCTAGATATCAGATTACAGTAAAACCAAAATGCTATTCCCCAAACACAGTCTTTACGACGTTAGCTTTTACTCTAAAACAACTGAATACAATCCAATAAATTAAATAAACAAACGAAAGTGACCTTCCTTTTTCCTCCCTCCCTCTCCTGCCCAATATATTCACATTCCTCTAAATCATCAAGCCCCAAATCCCACAAGAGCCTTTTTAAATCTGGGTGGTCCCTCTAGATCCCCGGTCCCCACCCCTTCCCCCACCTTTCTGTAACAAAACAACGCGGAAAAGGGCATCTCTTACCCCGGGTAGAGAGAGAGCAGGAGCAGAATCCACACCGTCATTTTCTGTGAAAATACAGGAGTCGAGTAGACCGAGCTTCCTGTACTCCATGTATTTGTCGAACTCATGGCTCTTTTTTCCCCCCTCTCTCGCTTGCCTCTAGCCTCTAGGTTGCAGAAGAATCAATCCCTCCCCTTTGTATTATTATTACGCTATGATCTGATGGTGGCTCCCCCCACCTGCCTCTAGTAGGTCCGGTCACCAGGCAGCTGTATTGCTACCAGCTTCGGGAATTAATATTCAGGGGGCAGAAATAAGATCAGCACAAACGCTTGCAGATACCATCAAAGCGTCAGCTCAGGGAGCAGCTTCCAAGTCTGGGGGAAATAATATAATTGAGGCAGGGGGAGGGTGCAGGGAGAGACGCGCAGGAGACGAATGAGGGAAAGGGAAGCGAGCGCACACTCACACACATACTCATGCTCCTCGCACTCACACACACGCTCCCCCAGGTCCCTCGTTTCAGGATTGTTTATTTGTTTTGCTTTGTTTTGATTTTTCTTTTAGAGGGTGGCAGGTGAGTGTGTCTGTGTGTGTGTGTGTGTGTGTTTTTAAAAGAAATCCTGGGATCTCTGCGTGATTAACTATCACGCAGGTTAACTATGAGGTCAAAGTGGAAGAGATGCGCGCGGCTGCTGCACGAATTAACACATGCGTGGTGTCAGTCCAGCGCTTTTTAACCCTTTCCGGCACACACAAGCATGCAAGGACCGGCTTTCATGGGGACAGGGGGTGCTTTAGCAAGCTGAAGCTAAACTAGACCACCAGTGACAGAAGGTTTGTCTCCTCAGATCTGCCAAGAATCCTTGTTTAAAATCATGCAGTCTCAGAAATCATGGTTACGACGTAGGGGGATGGGGAGCAGACGGTGGGGGAGGAGGGGCTGTGTCTCTGTAAACCATCCTGTAGGAAAACAGATCTGGTGAATTTTGAATTTGAATGAAGGCAGAGAACGCTGATAGAATCAAAAGACAAGAAGAATCTGTGTTCCCCAGGGTTCATTCCTACCTTTTTTGCTCTCCATCCCCAGTGAAATTGTGAAGATACAAACTCCTTGCAGGTTGAAGAATATAACTGCACAGAGCAAGCTGCCTGAGTAAAGACTACAGACCAGGAAATAGGGGGCTGCTTTTCGAAGGGAGGGTGGACCAAGGGGAAGGTCAAGAAAACATTTAACAACATAAAGGGGTTTCTTGCTTGCTCTGTGGGATTTGACTTTTGTTGGTGGTGGTGGTCTACTTGGTGATAATTCTGAAAATTCCCTGGGTGGATGAGTGGTGCTAGCCTGCTGCCTTCTTGCCTAGAATGTTACCATGGCTACCGATACATGGGCGAGATCCCCTTCATCCTAGCTCATCCACTGCAGAGGAAACCCCATTCGCTCATCATGGAGAAGGAAGCAGAGGATTGTTTTCAAGGTTCCTGCAGAACTGAGACCAAAGCAGAGATGTTCATATATAAGTATGGGTGAACCTCAAGGGCCCATTGGAACCCTTCCTGGAACACTGCAGGGAGTCATTTCAAAACTGGTGCCTTTTCTAGAAGAAGGTCTTCCAGGTAGTGAACTTGAATAAGGAGTCCAGGAGGCACAGACAGAACATGGGGTGAGGAGGTCCACACACCATCTGCAACCCTAAAATATACTCAAGACAAGCATGCAGAAGCACTAGAGGCTTTCTTCAGGCTGAGGAGACACATCCTGACACTGATGCAAAAAAGGCCTCACAGACACTCCTGGAAACCTGCATGCCTTCCAGACTTGCACTTAGGCAGTTATTTTACAGCATGTGAACAAAATCCAGTTAAAACAACAACATTCATGTGCAGCAGTCAGCTGACTTCTTTCTTTGGTGATTAGAGACAGAACAAATGCAAACCCCTTTCTTTGTAATTTTCTTATTACTTGCTTGCACTGTGAGAAATTTTCGCCCTCCTTACAGTTACATTTTTTAATTAATTATTATTATTATTATTTTTTACAAAAAACACCTAGGTTGTTAATAGCTATACACTTATTTTTAGTGAAAACATTCTATCATGTTTTTGTAGGTCAAGGCTTACAAGTTCACATGCCTCCAGAAACCAAGCAAGTGAGACAAATGAGAGAAAAGGGGCAGCTGTGACTCAGTAAAGTGGTGGAGACCATGCGGGGTGACCATACCCCGTCTGAGTGGAGTTGCCACTACTCTATTCCAATCAGAGCTGCCAGAGGAAATGGGAACACAATTTTGAGAAATGTCCTCAAATACAAAGGAGGCCAAACCAAACAGATAGGCAGACCTTTAGGCTGCAGATAACAACTGATATGAGAATTCTGTCTTCTTTCAAACAGAACATTTTCAATTTTCCAATCTAATTTTTTCCCCTTGAGTTAAGCTATGAGAAGGAATGCTGTCACATTCACAAAGTAGTAATTCAAATTCTGATTCCTTATCGTTATCATAATGATCCCAATAAGTTATAATCTACTTCAATAATGGAATATCTCCCAGCATAGTAAGAGAATCCATAGAGGAAATTTTACTATTTATAGTATCTGGGTACAATTGTAATTGTGCTGTTCCTGGCTAATAAGCTTCAGTTTGCTCTGTATCTGTCCTCTCTGGTGGCTGCTCTCTGAAAAGAACAACAACAACAAAAAAAACTAAGATTTTGCCACACATTTATACACTGTTATTTGTAAGAGACTTCATCTGGTAATTTCTTTTCTTTTCTTTTCCATTTGCATTTTGGTTTATTGAATTTTTATTGAAGTATAGTATGTTACAACGTTGTGTCAATTTCTGGTGTCAGCATGTTTCAGACATACATCTAGTCCTTTCTATAGTCTTTTTCATTATAGGTTACTACACGGTACTGAATATAGTTCCCTGTGCTACTGTGCTATACAGTAGAAACTTGTTGTTTATCCATTTTATATGTAGTAGTTAGTTGTCTGCAAATCTTCAACTCCCAATTTATCCCTTCCCACTCCCTTTTCCCCGTGGTAACCTTAAGTTTGTTCTTTATGTCTGTGACTCTGTTTCTGTTTTGCAAATAAGTTCATTTGTGTCATTTTTCAGATTCCACATATAAATGATATCACATGGTTTCTTTCTCTTTCTGACTTACTTCACTTAGAATGACAGTCTCTAGGTCCATCCATGTTGTTGCAAATGGCATCATTTTATTCTTTTTATGGCTGAGTAGTAATGTCTTTTGTAGTCACCATTTAGCTACATTTAATCTTGCTCATTTTCAAGAAGGTATGTTTATAATACACATTTAAATAACCATTATTTGATAAATACGGTACTCATTTTATTGCAAACATATGTATATATATATATATATACTAACATTTTAGAATTATTAAAAAATAAGAAAAACCACCACCTACATCCTCTTATTCAAACAAGCCATTGTCAATATATCAGAGTTATTTGGTGGGTTAATTTTATCTGAATGAAGTTTTACTTCTACTTTTAATTTGATGTTGTATTATTATTACCATTACTATTATTATTATCATTACTATTCCCAGAAGTGAATTATAAGATCGAGAGTCGGATCAGTTTGGTTGCTGATACCGAATTTCTTATCACTTGCAGAATTAAAATAAATTACTTAGGTTCTAGTTCTGTTAATGATGAAGTAGGCTAAACAAGCTGCAGATAACATTTACAACTGGTGGACAAAACATTAAGTAAACTATGTAAAGTACTAGAAAGTTACCTGAAGCAAGCAGGAAGTAGTGAAGTTTTGACCATAAAGAGAGGGAAGTGAATTGGATGAGATCTACGATGATGTGGCTTTTCCCTGGAGGATACTTAGAAGATGATCAAGTTCTCCTTATTTGCCTGGACCGTCCCTAGCTTTGGCTTGGGAAGACCTGTAGCCCAGGAAAACCTTCCACTGCAGAGATACAGGATGGCTACAGTCAGCAGAAGGCAATAATTCTGTTGGTTTGAGGTTTGAGGTTTAACAGGAGAGTTGGAGCTGCCAGGGCTCCTCAAGTTAAGGGAGAAATCACAGAAACAGAGAAAAACGGAGATATGACTCCTGATCTGTATGCAAACTTCGTTTGGGTATTTGTTTTTGAATGGAAAGGGCAAAAAGACACCAAGAAGCCTGGAAGAGAGCAAATACTGAAAGACTGAAAACGTTGAGCCGTATTTCAGCTGCCACTCACTGCATGAGATTCTGAGTTTGGAGTCTGAATCCCACCAAGTTAGACTCTTAAAACAAACTTCAGACTTTCCTTTAAAACCACAGAAGGACCATAACCCTTCTCCATTCTAGGACTAAGGATTTCGTCTAAGTCTAAGGACAAAACTGAAACTAAACCTGAAAACAGTAAAAACACTAATCCTGGACAAAAGTAAGGTGATTTGCCAATCATTTAACTCCTAGTAGAACAAAAATCAACATCCTTTAGAAGAGTACTAAAAATCAGAATGTTGATAATATATAAAACATCTAATAATACATGGTAAAAAAAATCATAGAATATACAAAGTACAGGATAAATAAGACACATATTATTTAAAATAACAGTATTCAATATAAAGCAACCAAACTTGAGATGCAATTAGCAAATACAGACATTCAATCAATTATTTTAAATAATCTGAGGATTTAAAACAAAACATGGCCATGATGCTTACATGGTCAATGTGTGGACAGCAGGGACTCTCAGAGGAGAAATGGAGACTATTAAAAACAAGCAAAATAGAAAAGTCTACAACTGAAATTTATAATGCCTGACAGAAAAAACTCATGCATGGGTTTTAATATCAGATTAATTTAAGATCAGATCTAATATCAGTTTAAGAATAACAGTAGAAGAAAGTATGGTAAACTTGAAAATGCAGCAACAAAAAATATCCAGTATAAAAACCATGGAGAAAAATATTGAAAAAAAATGAGCTACTAGAAACTGTGAGATTGTATCAAGCCTCCTGATACAGTAGCGTATGAGAAGAAAAGAATAAATAGGAACACATTTAAAGTAATATTGGCCAAAAAACTTCCCTAAATTGGTGAAAATATTACATAGACCCAAGAAGCTTCGTAGGCCCCAAGCAGGGAAAACATAATGAAAACTATACCTGGGAACTTTGTAGTCCCACATGTAAAAACTAAAAATCAAATGAAAAAGTTGGAAGTATCAAGAGAAGCATGCAACATTACAATTGCCAGAGGTTAACACTACAATGATGGCTGGCTTATCAAAACAACTGAGGTCAGGAAAGAATGGATGACATCTTCCAAGTTCTAAAAATAAATTATACGTAGGCGTCTACATCCAGGAGATAGATCTGTCAGAAATGAAATGGGGAAAAAAGCCATTTTCAAATAAATGAAGACTAAGAGAATTTGTCACCAGCAGAAACAAGTTAAAAATAATGCTAAGGTAAATTCTCCAGGCTGAAGGTAAGTGATACCAGATGGAAACCCAGATTTTTGA